AAATCTCTCTTGGCATATGTTAGCCTTTCTTTTGAAATAATGACTAATATGAATCACAGAACTTTAATTTCACCATTTATTATTATTTATTTTAGTGGTATTTCATGTTAGAAAATTTAAACCTTTACTTACAGTTCAATATTTAAACATTACAACCATCTACTCTGGAATGAACTTACTCGCTGTCTGCACAGATATTATAAATTTTCCAACTGGAAATATCACTAACATGATATTACTCAAAAATTTTGAAATTGGATTTAGCTATTCTTTTAACTGAAAGGCATATATAGCTCAGAGACTGGTGTTATGTGGTTTACGAAGGCAGATGAAGTAACGAGGTTTCTATTATATTCTACCCTCGATATAACAAACTTTTTGTTATTGTTGAATTTTTGTTATTTTAATGGTTCTAATGATCTGTACTGATTTCAACTGTAATCCATTTGATTTTTTTTTAATATCACATTATTACCAGAAAAAATGTCTATTCAAATCTCAATTTTCTTAACACTAATTATCTATACCAAACGTTTAAAAATATCGATATGCAATAAAAGCCTATTACATCCGGAAGTTTTTATAAAAGTGGTGCATCTGAAGTATACTTGTAGGACTATTAAAAACATAAAATTACGAATAATCCATGATTTGATGAAAAACACAACATAGAGTAGTTTGGCCACTCAAATGTCCGCTTTAAATGATTTTGAGAAAGTTCATCAAGTCAGGAAGGGTTGTATGCCATTTTAAAACTGGAAATTGTCTGATTAAAAACTTGCTTAAGTTTCTTGAAATTTTCGAAATTATATTGTTTATCCGGTAGAGCGATGCAACTATTAGTCTTGAAAAATGTTTCATCACGTTGAGTTGTCAGAAATACTTATTTGACTAAATCGACGTCATAACATAATATTAAAAAAGACGGTACCTAAGATAACGAATTACGAACAAGATGCGTGATCTGTTGAAGAAAATTCATGAATTAATTCTTGTAAAATTTTATGATTTGCAGTTGCATATTTGTTCCATCTAATGAGCAATGTTCTACAAATCTGACTAACGAACTATGTTTTTATTCTAAGGAAAATACCCTCAAAGTAGAATAGAGTATTCTTATTTATTTATTTTTTTTTATCGATTATATATTTGGTATGATATATTTACAACTGTATTAAGGAAATATATTTAGTAAATTTGGACATATGGATATAATGACGTGAAAATACTTGTTGAGAAACTACTCAATGGTAATACTCTCACGGGACTTCTTTTCAGACGCCTCGGAATGTTATCAGGAATTGGAGAGGAAGCAAGGTTGGAAACGGGAGGGTTGGGAGGATTCTGAAGTATATTATGGAAAGATAGATATCTGGATTAGGTCAGATCTGAAACATAAGAAACATTAAAGTCATTATGGATGATTTTATTTGTAACAAAGTAGGGATCATAGAGGATTTTACGAAGGATTTTGAATTGTAAGGATTGGATACTAGAGGAATTCGATGGTTTAGTAGAGCCCCATAACTCAACTCCGTAAGTCCAAATGGACCGTAAGTGCTGAAGTAATCGGAAACGTCGAGCAGCTTCTTGTGGTTTTAGTCCGGTATGAGGATTCTAAGTTAGACGTTTGTCCAGATGGAATCCTAGGTAGCAGATTTTTTTAATCGACAATATATTTGTTTGGTCTTTTTTTACGATAATTTTTGTATATATTTTTGTCGCTCGCTCGAATTCAACCAACAAGTTTTAAACCATGTCTACAATTGATCAAAATACCTTTTCCCGGATATACAAGGAAATCTTCTGGTTCCATGTTTTTGCTCAGACAGATCCGCCCGAAATTCGAAGGATACTAACAGTGTATTTTGTTTGTTTGTTACGTCATTTCTAATAAGTTTGGTTCCGCAGACTTACTTACTAAAACTTTTCAAAGTTGTAATTTTACTTTCTAAATTCAATAAACGAGGGAACTTGTTAAAACTGTCATGAATATTCATTGAAGGCCATAGTAACTTTGATCAAAGCCCAAATTACTATCTAATTTCTTTATACTTATTATTATCGCTAGTATAGCTTTGTATGATTCTAAAAGCTGAGTATAAAATATCAGTAGTTTGATTCAGATTATTCAAACAAAACAGAAAAGCAAGACCACCTTGCATAATACAGCATTGTATTGTTATTTTATCATAGTATATGTATCTCAAATCGTTTGTTTTAAACAGCTATATCAACAATAAATGACAACACATCAATTTAAGATAACTAAAGACTTATTTATTATTTGGTTATATTTTAGGTGCCGTGTGCAACTTTATAGGTTAGAAGCACCATCTTGATTGTTGATTTACATTTCAATACGTCTTATGTATGTAAAATTTTGGATGTGTATGTTGTTAGTATTTTTGTTTAAAGAACGTGTTGTTACAATTGAATAGGTCTAAAGACTTAAATTGAATTACAATTTTTTTTTTAATTTGCGATAGTTATATCAATGAGAATTTTATTTGTAAATAGCAAATATTAGGTGTTATTATTGTGCACAAAACATATATCCTACTTTTAGGAAAACCCTCTTGTCTAAAAAACTTTATTGTTTAAGTAAATATTAATTAAGTTGACATTCACCTCAAGTTATGTAAAAAAAAGGTGTTGTTTCTTATGATTTAATATCCTGTCATTCATAAGTAATCCTGCTTTTAGCAAAAATGATCACATTTAATTATTACAAAGCTTTTATTAATTTCACAATGACCTGGGATATATTATAAAAACATAACTGTATTAATAAACAATTTATTTACAAAACAAAAAAAAAGGGTTTTTACCCAAATCTATATTATTATAAGAACTGACCAATATATATAAGTGGCGAAATAAATTTTAATAATCCTAATATTTACGTTTTAATGAAAATAATTTCAGGAATGGGCAGATTAATCTATTGTAAACTAAAGTAAGAATTCTAAAAAATCGTTATTTTAAACTTTTCCTATTAAATAGAAAGTGTATTTACGAATTTATTTTTTTGATTTCTCCTCTGCCCTATAGGGTCACGCTTTTACATTGATTAATATTACAACCTACGTAACAAATAAAAAAAAAATTGAACCTTTGTTAAATTAAATTTTTGTTGAAAATACGGTGACACGAAATAATTTTAGGTGACAGGATATCAAATCACTTCATTTTTTTCACAATACCTAAGAGAAATTTCAATTTATTTATATAATAAATTCCACCTTACCTTATGTGGACTTTATGAAAGTTTATCACACATACTTCTATATTTTTTTTTTTCCAAAGATTTGCCAAAATTTGGGTATTTGTAGTATAGTTGTCCTCTTTAAATGGTTCCAATAATGATAATCTCTATTTTTTTTTAAAGTAAATTTTTTATAGTTTACTGTGAAGTAGGTACCGTTTCCTATTAAACCAAAAACGTTAAAATAAAAAAATAAAAAAAACTTAAATTTCCTACTTTTCTGGGGAAAATAGAATCATTGTGTATATATACTTTTTTGTAGTTGTTGCGGTCTGCTATCACTCCATTAATTTTTTCTTTGTGCTTACGGAACACCCTGTATAAATACTTAATATATATACATTATTCGACCAATCTTGAAAGAAAATTAATTTTAATGGTGAAATGATGAATATCTCCGAAGGCGGTAAGTCGATCGGGATGAGACATATTGTATTTTCAAGATTTCGTTTCAAAGGATTGATTTTGTGTTGAGTCTGTAATGGGCGTCACGAGGGCCTATATAACGGCGTCTGACGAGGCGGTGCAGGTGCTGGCCGGAGCTATGGCACCGGAGATAGTCCTCAAGGAAGACACAAGGAAGTATGGCGTCAAGAGACTGTAACTGGGGGCGCTGCCGGACGGACACCGAAGGAGAGTCAGCAGGAATATCAACAAACTGAAAAGATAATCTGGGGAAGCCAGTCGAACTGACGAAGGGTGACAAGCCAAAACGGATAAATCCTCAGGAAGTTCTTCCACACGGTCTAATCAAGATTAATGGCGATTTGGGACCTCCCTTATTCTTGAAATTCGCAAATTCTCACAAAGCATGGAGAGCTCCGGAGAAAACTATTTGACCATGGAAAGAATATCGACCCTCGGCTTCCTTCCTGCGGAGTCACACGGACAGCAGAACACATTCTGGTAGCCTGCACCAAAAGGGAGAGACTCCGAGCTCGGCTCATGAAAGATACTCGCCTATTCATCCTCAGTGGAGAAGATTGTCGAGGTATTGTATGGTTTAAATATTTATCAGAAGTCCTTGACAGAGCGTGTTCAAATTTGGGTTATATGGCATTGTTTATGAAGGGAGAGGCTAAGACAGGATGACCTCAAGTATTAGGCGGATAAGCACTCTAATCACTCTTGGTATATAGGCTAAGAAATGAACCTTAAGACTCTACAGGAGGGAAACCACAAACGAAGATATGAAACTTCTAACATTGTGGGAGGATGAAATACTAACAAAGGGAAGAACCTCTTGACTTAAAAGTTTATATAGAATTTACAGACCAAACTGCTGGGCAGGTTGGCAACCCGAAGGATGGTTATCTACCTATGATAAAGTGTTATTGTGCTTCTCAGTGTTTTGTATTTTTCAAGTTTGTTTTGTTAGTTTTGTTGTATCGTTTCCTACTGTTTGTGTTATTTTAGTGTTTTATAGTTTTTTGAACATGATTTAGTTTTAGTTTATGTTTATTTAGTTAATTTTATAAACTTTTTGAGTGAACAGTGGAGGTTAAGGTTAACTTTGTGGTTTTCACGAAGGTTTAATCTAACCAAAAGGACGTTTAGAGACTATTACGTTGGTGAAGCACTAAGGTAAGTTCATATTAAAGTCTTACTTTTGAAGATAGGAAATTTATAAGTTTCCCGAACGTAGGTTAGATTTTGAGTGTTGAATATTTCCTTCTACTGTTGTTCACCCATTATTTCAACGTATAAAGTTGTTAATTTTGGATTGCGTAAGATGGCTGATGAAATTGCATCAGCAATGGAGCAGGAAATGGTGGAAGAACAGGCTATAAAGTGCCCAAGGCCTTCAGCAAAGAGGCAAAGGAAAGGATCTCCTGACGCCCGAGAAGAAACAGATAAAGAACGTGTAGACGATAGTCTTCTGCAAGATGCACGTAGAATCAAAGAAAACATCAGGGTCTACATGAACGCAACAGACAGGAACGTGAGTGCGAAAGTACAAAAGCACGTTAATGGGAAAATTCAGCAGTTAATAGATATAATGGAGACAATATATGATAAGAACTATGAAAAAACGTTTTTAGTACAACGTGTGGTAAAGGACACATTAGCTTCCTCTGAAATGTATGATATCATAGTAAATGCATTAGTGGAAAAAGCAGTACCTATGGTTATCGAGGGACTCAAGTCGGAAAGTAAAACCATACAAAGACCACTGTCAGAACCTCAGACATCTCGGGAGTTTCCATGCGTTAAAGAACAACCGCTATTAGCCGATGCCCACGCTATTATTGAGACCACGGAGAATGAAAGTTTCCAGGAAGTAAAGAAAAAGCAAAGAAGGAAAAAGGCTCTTCCACAAGTGGCCAAAGAGATCGAGGCCTCTAAACCAATAGCAGAGGAAAGTTTGACCAAGAAAAGGTCTACACATCAGACTACGATGGCCGATATTGTTAAAGGGCTTCCATTAAAACCGATGGATACTACAAGACCAACTTATGTTACCATCGCTTCTCAAGGTAAAAGTGCAGCTGACATCATCAACAATCTGCCTTCTCCAACTGAACGAGGAGTCAAGGCGAGAGTTGTACGGGCGACCAAAGCTGGCTCAGTTTTAGTTTGTGTAGATGAGGGTGCCCATGCGAAAAAAATAATTGAATGGCAAAAATTAAAAGAAGTTGGGATGGAGGCAAAACTAGCCTTAAAAAGAAAACCAAAAGTGGAGGTAAAAGGAGTTCCCCTTTCATGGAGTGCGGAAAATCTAGAAAGGGTGCTATGGGAAAGGTTGGCTGCAAAATCGGCCGTTATTTCTGAGAACCATTTAGGTAATATAAAGCCATTGTTCTCATCAATGGCTAGAAATAAAATTACCAATAATTGGGTGTTAGAAGTACATCCAATGGTAAGATATAATCTACTCAAGGAGGAAATAATTACAGGAGGTTGGTGGTCACTGACAATCTTAGATTACCCCGATGCTCCTCCCTGTCTAAGGTGTCAGGGATATGGACATACAAAAGCTACTTGTGAGGCAAATGGCATAGTATGCAAGTGGTGTGCGGCGAGTGGGCATATTGCTAAAAACTGTCCCGCAAAAGGAAATAAGACCGCACCTACATGCGTTAACTGCGTGAGGGAAGGTGTTCAAAAAAGTAAGGCTAAACACCAGGCAGGAAGTAGAGAATGCCCAGTGCACATCAAGAGATCTCAAGAATTAGTGAGGAGAACTCACTATGATTAGACTCAACATCCTGCAGTTGAATATGGGCCGCCGGCATATTGTGGCTGACGAGCTTCGCGCCATGGCACAACGTCATGGCGGTCCAGGAACCCAGCTGCCGTGGGAACAGGGTTACGGGGTTCGGCCTCACGTCAAGGGTTATAGCCCTGAGCAGTGGAGAGAGGAGGCCCAGGGCTGCAATAGTGATTAATAATCCTAACCTTGACGTGATGGATCTGAGACAACACACCATGGCGGATTATGCATCTTGCTATGTTAAGTGGGGCAAGATTTCTTTCACATTGGTATCGGCATACCTACCTGTGAATGGTGATGTAGAAGAAAGCATATCCGCTATGGAGGCGATCATTAGAGAGATGAGGAATGTGATCATGTGCTCAGATACCAACTCCTGGAACACGGTCTGGGGGTCCAATATTACTGACAGGCGAGGCGCTAAAATGGGAAATTTCATAGGCAGAAATCACCTTGTCGTGATGAACGAACCCTCTGCCATCCCTACCTTCTCTGGAGGTATGGGGCAGAGTTGGATTGACGTCACGATCGCCACGCCTGCGCTTACGAGGTATATTGCTGATTGGACTCTCAGATCTGATACGAGTTCCGATCACGTTGCGATAGCAATTGGCCTGGTAAATGAGCCAGGATGTTCCCACGGTACTGATAAGGGTTTCGTCACTAAAATAAATGACTGGAGTGTCTTCAGGTCCTACCTGGAAGGAGTGATTGCAGACGAGGAGTGGGAAGCGGCAGAGATGGATGTAGTTGACAATCTGGACTACAAGGTGTCCAGGATTACCAACAACATTCGTGATGCTGCCGAACACTCCCTCAAGCACCGGAAGGCGAGGGTTCGACCTGTCCCATGGTGGACGCCAGCCTTAACTGTTCTAAAACGAGACCTCTACAAGGCCCGGCGGTCATATCAGAGGTGCAGATGCGAAGAGAGGCGCACTGTACTTCGCAATGAGTACAAGTCAAAAGCCAGGATATACCGAAACGAGGTTCGCTCACAAAAGCGGAAGTCTTGGGATGATTTCATTATTGAAGAGTCTTTGAAGAATCCCTGGGGTATTCCGTATAGGGTAGCATTGGGTAAGTTGTCCCCGATGCAGACTATTGCAGCCTTGCGGTATCATAATACTGAGGCAACCACCCTTGAAGAAACTGCCAATGTTTTCATTGAAGCAATATATCCCAGAGATGACCCAACCCAGGATAGCGAAAATGATGATTTTGTGAGACGCACCACGGTATATCCATCTGGTTCAGATTTGAGCCCACCATGGGACATTCACGATCTTCGTATTGCCGTGGATAAGCAGAAGACTAATCGTGCTCCAGGACTTGATGCAATAGATGCAGCGATCTTGAGGAATAGTATCACGTATATTGAAGACCGGCTGTTGAGTATTTTCAATGAATGTCTGGATATGGGATACTTTCCAAGAAGATGGAAGATCGCTGATTTGAGACTACTCTACAAGGGAGGAGATAGGGACAAACAACTTCCTAATTCATATAGACCTATATGTCTCCTCCCTGTGATTAGCAAGGTCCTGGAGAACCTCATGATGACTAGTTTACGGCCTGTTTTCGCTAGAGCAAGTCATCCACGGCAATATGGATCAACCAGAGGCAGAGGAACCGCTGATGCCCTGCTGAGAGTGCGCAGAGATGTTGAGGAGAGGGCGGAGCGGTATGTCATGTTGCTTCTTTTCGATATATCCTCCGCCTTTGACAGCGTATGGTGGCCTAGCGTGCTCCAGCAGCTGCAGAGGTATGATGCTCCTAGTAACTTATACACATTAGTAAGAAGTTATCTCCAGGATAGAAGTGTCAAGATTAGAGGCAATTACTACGAGGTAGAAGCTTCCATAGAGAGAGGTTGCCCTCAGGGATCGGTGCTTGGTCCTGCTCTATGGAAGCTCGTCTTTGATGAGTTACTGGGAGTGTTAGAGGAGGAGCGGTTCCCTGCCACTGCTTACGTTGACGACCTAGCTGCTGTGGTGGCCTCCAACAGCAGAGCTGGAGTCAAGAGAGAAGCAGAGCGATGCGCCAGCCTAGTCGCTAGATGGTGTGAGGGGAAGAAGATGAGGATGGCTGCTGCTAAGACTCAAGCCATCCTCCTTAAGGGAAAGACTGATAGGGCACACCCTATAACGATGTACATAGAAGGTCAGAGGATACGTCCAAGTGAGGTGGTAACCTACCTAGGGGTTAGATTAGGTGTAGGCCTCAATATGACGCCTCATTTGGAATATCTGGTAGGTAGGGTGGCCCTAGCAATGAACGGTCTAAGTCGTGTGGGGGGCGCATTTTGGGGCCTTAGGTATCCAGCCACTATCACTATTTATAAGGGTGTTGTGGAGGGTATCCTTAGGTATGCGTCTCCCTTCTGGTTCCGAAACCTCACACTCAGACAAAGAAATAGGCTAGCATCGACTCAGAGAACTGCTCTGCTTCGGGTCACCAGAGCATATAGGTCCACATCGCATGAAGCAGTGCAGGTCTTAGCGGGGGTGGTGCCTCTCGACCTCCTCCTGCGAGAAGAAGTGACCAGGTATGACTACAAGAAGGAGGGCTCAACTAGTCTATCGGAGAACCTACGGATGAGGATTATTGAAAACCCAAATAAATGGAAAAAGATTATCCGGGAGGAAACAATTGAAGATTGGAGCAGACGGTGGGTGACGACTCCGAAAGGCAGTACCTTAAGAAAATACTTTCCCACCGTTGAATCTCGGTTACAGGCGAAATGGGTCCTCCCGGACTATTGGGTTTCACAATTTCTCACGGGACATGGGGGTTTCAGAGCTAAACTCCATGGCTACGGACAGGATATAGATCCCCACTGCCCCGATTGTGGTGTTCCGGAGACTGTTGAGCATGTGGTCACGGCCTGCACTGCTTTCGACGAATTAAGAGCGAGGTTAATGAGAACTACGGGGATTTACGTCCTCACTGAGGAGGAGTTTCCTCAGTTGGTGAGTGAAGAAAACTTCCCGCGGTTCAAAGAGTTTATAAATGGCTGGAAGACGGCGGTGGGCCCAGCTCACTTCAACCTAGGTGCACGCAGAAGGAGAAGAGGACCAGTCCCAGGAAGACCTCCGGATTCGGGAAGCCAGGCCTAAAGGAGCCAGGAAAAAGTAGAAGAGCTAGCTGTGTGCACAGCTTAGAATTTTGTAAACTGATATTATGGCAGTAGTGTGTTATTATGCATTAATGCTTAACATCACACTACTGCATACACCCGTGTTGCCCTGGTGGCATGGGAGGGTGGAAAACAAATAAAAAAAAAAAAAAAACCCGAAGGATGGAGATATGAACCCTATTTTATTTCTTGGAGGAATGCGGTGATCATTCCGTCATGACTAAATTGGCTGTCAAGAATCGTTACTGTTACAGTTATTTTTAAGCTTTCATTAGTATACCTTATTGCCATTAAACTTTGTTAGTAAAAAGTATTCACAATATATGTATTTTAAATTTATAACTTGGGTATTTTACAATACAATACTGAGAAATAATAATATATTTTTTAGATACATTGATAAGCCCGCACGTGTGGCGCTTCCAGGTAGGACGCCGGTGAACTACGTTCCGGTTGGTGGCGGCAGATGACAAGTTGCCCACTGTCGGTTTGATGGCAGGCAGCGTAAGCCGCCACAAGACTTTCTACTGTTTTTGTTTTCAAAATATACTCCCCTAATATCATGTGTAATAAGAAATAAAATAAAATAAATAGTAGATTATTAGCAGTAGAGAGAATACGAAAACGGGGGAAACGTATTAACCCACTGCTGCCGAAATCCCATATGGCATCAATTCCGGGCTGTGTAAAAAATGATATTACATCAAGCATTGTTTTTTATATTCCTAATGTTCATCCCACATTAAATATTCTTCTAAATGGAACATCTGTCGGTACTTTTTGTCTAGCGGGTCGTTTTGAAACACTTCAAAACTATCTTATCTAACGTCACGTCACATAACCTCTTATTACGTTCACTTATCAAATTCTTTACTTTGTGTTTATTTTTCGTTATTTTTATTTTTTGGCCCGTTTGTGTTTATTTTACTTTTTTTTTAGATTGTGGCCATTTAGGTTTATTTTTTATTGTTTTTTCCATTTATTTTTGTCATATTATGGGTCTTCTTAAAACATGGGATTTACCGTCTTCAGAAGAACAGGCAATTCAGTATTTTCAAAATGTTGGGTTACTTGCCGACGTGAAATTGTGTGAACGAGGTCATCGAATGAAGTTAACCAAGAAGGCCAAATGGAGATGCTTTCGTAAGACTTGTGACACAAAACTTTCAATAAGGAAAGGAACGTGGTTGGAGGACTTGAGGATTTCATTTTTTAACAGCTTTAAAATCGATTTATGGGTGGTCCCATAGCTTGACAACGATGAAGTTGGGCAAAGAGCAGTTGAAACTACCCTACGGAGCTATGGTAACGTGGAACAAATGTCTAAGAGAGGTTCGTGCCCATGACATTTTATACAGGCCAAGAAAAAAAATCTGGTGCGCGCAACACACAACTTTCACTTACTCTTTGAACTTTGAATAAAAATTATTTTCTGGCCATGTCAAGCTATTATAAAATGTTTTAAATTGCATATTAAACTGAGCTAAAGCTAAAAAAACACAAATGCTATTAAAATAACAAAAGTCCTATTTATTATATCACCGGTTGATTATGGATTGTACGATTCGTTGATTATGGATTGTACGACTATAAGTCATTAAACTGTTATTTTCCATTGCAAAGTTTATTAAAACGGAATTAAGAGATTTGCATTGTCTGTCATAGACAGATCAAAAGTTGTCACACTAATTGTAAGTGGATTCTGTTGGAATATCGCAAAAAGAAGAATTATCAAACTATTCACTAATTTAATTTTCTAAAAGGTTACATGATGATTTTTCGGAATAAACGGACGATAGATATCTAAATATTTAAATATACTATGAGATCTAGAGTTATTAAACTACAGTAAATATATTTAGGATTATAATCGTATCTATGAAATATTTTTGTATTTCACTTCTTTTTTCACACAAGTACAATGAAATTGTAGAGGAATATCACAAAGAGAACATCTATCGAATTATTCACTAATTTAGTTTTCTAAAAAGTTATATGACAATATTTTGGAATTACCTTTAATACCTAATTATTTATAGAGAAATACTTTATTAAAAGTATAAAAGTAATGCTGCCCTACTACATAGGGTTGCTTCGTACACAGCATACTTATCAATCCATACGGTCATTAATTTTATATTATATTTTTCTCCCCCTTCATAACAACACTCTTACAAATTATCAACAATAAGCCATATTAAACAATAGACATAGCATAATAAACACTTTTCTAAAATAAAAAAAAATTCCTTTTTTCTCTTTAAAGCTTTAGCTTTTTTCTCTTTTTTCTCCTTTAGCTAGACTGCTAACATACAAACACACAGACACACAGACCATTTGTCGGGACTTGGTCATTTTGACTCAGGGTACCTCAAAACGTATAAATCCGTCGAAAACTCAGATTCAAAAATTTTCTTGAACGCAATACTTACACTTACTATATATTACATATATACGTAAGTGAAAGTAAAAATATTTAAAATTCGCGATATCTCTACTTAACTCTAATAGTGCTTCGATTTCGATGAAACTTTCGTTTGTTTTTTAGGCAATTTAAATACCTTTGAAACATTTTATTACAACATTCCCAAAAAAGTGTATACTTTTTGAGTTATTCGGAATTTAATTTTACCATCCCTCGTAACTTTTTTTCAGCTTCTTTTCGCTGATGAATGTTATATAGATAAATTTGAAGGGTGTCGAGAAAATGACTTTAGCGAAGTTTCAATGAAATCGGTAAATTCGTTTAGGAGCTACAGTCTATAGCTATGTTTTTCTGCATTTTTATTTTTTTTCTCCTTTATTAACTTATCAAATTCATTCAAAAGTTATATTTAGCATTTTCTCATAACTTTTAATAATGCAAAATAATTATCTTTTTAAAATAAACCATATTAAAGGTACTTTAGAGGAAGACATATATGAACATTGGGCATTTAAGCCCTGTAAAGTAACATCAATGGGGATAAGACCTAATTTATATTAAAGACCACTTAATTATACAATGATACACCGAGTTTAATCAAAATCGTTAGAGCCGTTTTTGAGAAAACTGTGAAAATGTGTTTCAGCGTTGATGTAAAGTGTCACTTTATATCAATGGTTAGCCGATTTTAAGGAAAAAGTTGCCGTCACAACTAAGGCATATACCTATCTTAAATACGTGATATCAGTTTCATAGGACTTTTCGTTTTTGAGCTAGACTGCTAACATACAAACACACAGACACACAGACCATTGATCATTTCGACTCAGAGTACCTCAAAACGTATAAATCCGTCGAAAACTCAGATTCAAAAATTTTCTCGATCGCAATACTTACACTTACTATATATTACATATATACGTAAGTGAAAGTAAAAATTGGAGGACCTGGCAAAGTGGTTGAAGTAGACGTTTTCTAAACGAAAAAATCATGTGGAGAGAATTTTACCACAGCAGTGGATGTTTGGTGGAGTTTGCCGAGCATCAGATGAATGTTTTATCGTCAAAATAATTGAAAGAAAGGCAACAACCTTATTACAAGCAATTAAAGAAAATATAGAAAAGGGAACTTCCATTTATTCGGACTGTTGGAAAGGATACAACACCCGACAACTGAACGAAGCAAACTATGACCATTTCCAAATGAATCACCGGTATAATTTTGTCGATCCATCAACTGGGGTTCATACTCAACACATAGAACGACTATGGGGCTCAGCGAAGTGGAGAAATAAACAGTAAAGATAAAGAGACAACACCTCGATTCATATTTGTGCGAATTTTTGTGGCGGAGGGCTCACAGAGAAGAGGACCCGTTCCTCGCTATTATAAATACCATAAAACACTTTTGCCTTCCAAAATAAATAAGAAAAAAGGAAGTGAATAATTAAGTGAAAATAATTTGTACATATGCTGTTTATAGTGTTGATATTTTGTCTTTTCTATGTAAATATGTTCTTTTAAATTTGTATTTTTATTATTTCATTTTGATGTTTTATGTGTACATATATGCTGTTTATAGTGTTGATATTTTGTCTTTTCTATGAAAATATGTTCTTTTAAATTTGTATTTTTTTTATTTCATTTTGATGTTTTATGTGTACATATCTTCTTGAAGTGTTTTTTATTATTTCATTAATATATGTTTCGTCAAATAAAAGTATTTTTAACTTATGTATTTATTTATTTATTTAATGAATAATTGAAAACAATAGAGATAAAGAGAGAGAAGTGAGAGAAAGAGAAACTAAATGTTAAAGGAAAGAGAAAAAAAAAAAAGCATAAACAATGAAAGGAAGGAAAAGGGGAAAAAAAAATAATAAAAATGTATATATATATATATATATATATATATATATATTATATATATATATATATATATATATATATATATATATATATATATATATATATGTAAAATATATATATATATATATATATATATATATATATATATATATATATATATATATATATATATATATTACTAATATTAAGTAAGACTTCTGTATATTTATATATAAGTTCATATATTGTCCTAAGGATAGAAGAGTATGCTGTGTGTATAGCAACCCAATATAATTGGGCAGCAATCCTTTATATTTTATGTAAATAAAGTGTTTCTCTCTCTACATTTGTTTTAGTATCTGTTAAAACTTTCAATAATACGAATTTAATACAATAATACGAAGATATGAAGTAGAAGAAGGCTTATCACTGCGTTATGGGAGTTATCAGTGTTCAGGTTATAAACATTGGCAGATAGCAGTCAGGAGCGGCCCCCTAGACAAAAAGTACCCATCTGTCATAAAATAATGATTACATAACTCTAAGAGTTTTAAAAAGATAGAATATTACTTTTTATTATATCACAAGTAAAACATCTAATGAATGAGTAAAGGACTCGCTTTGAAGTCCCTTGCGAACTTCAGATATTATATAATGAAAATTATAATATTTAAAAACACGTTTGTGAGAGAACTACATAGCAAACATCCTACTCATTTGTACCAGCATAATAGGTCTCAGCCACTAGAATAGTGGGTTAGTAAACGTTCACGGATAGCTGAGCCTTAGGGCTTAACTGTTCAAATGCAGAGATATTTTACAGTGAAGTAAACTAATTAACTTATTCAGTAAAATGTTGTTTCAACATTCGTTATGAAGGATAAAAGAATATTCTTTATTTTGGCTAAGAAATATGATTTATAAACCTGAATAGAATGTCCAGTAGTTATTATTATTATTTTTTAATTCTTTATTTATATTTACTAGAATCTGTCAAATTTAAGAAAAATAGTAATATTTATAAAGAGTAGCTCATTCACACTATGCACAATAAATAAATATAAATAAACAGCGAAATAACAGTACTAAAAGTAAATGTATATAAACTAAACAAAAAGAAACTAAACTAATCAAAATAACTAGTTAAATACAGACATGCTTTTACACAATATTAGTTTACTGAATCACAATATAATCT